TATATATGATACTTTTTATTGTACTGATTTAAGAGAGTGTTTTGGCTAATACCCTTTCAGACTGTGTATGCATATCAAAGAATGGATGATTACTTGGTACAATAACAAAATGAGGCATCAAATGTTATATAATAATATACACTGTTCATTTACGTATGGAGTGCTTTGATTTCTCAGTACAGATGAGTTGAACTGAAGTGCTGGAGACCTTGCCATCAGTGATGTCCCTTAAACTGTCAGCACCATGAGGGCTGGAGGGGGAACTCAAGAATCTGATTACTCTTAAATCTTTGCTCTTTACATTGGACCTCACGCATAAGCATGAATTAACATTTGTTCAGATGAATGAAAAAATGATCCATTGTTCTGTAAGACAGGAGTTTAGCAAATAGTCTTTTATTTTTAAGTCTTTGATCTTACAATCTTTGCTTGGTTCTGTGATTTTTTTTTATTCAGCATGATATAGCTTTGATCTTGGAATGTTCTCCTTTTAGCCTCAAAAAGAAACCTTAGTTAAGTACTATGTATTTGACTTTAGAAGTTATTTCCTTATTTTTGCATAATTTTTCTCAAAGATCTGAGAGTCATATCCCTAAATTCTGTAGATTATTTTCTCTAATAATGCAGGGATTATAGTCTCTTCATCTTCTCTTCCTCTCCATCTCTCTACCACCATCCCTGTGTGGATACTTCTCATCCATGCTTGAGACACTACAGTACGMTCCTGATGGACAGCTGGTCTCACATCTCCATACACATGGCAACGGAAGATTTCCTGCTGTATTGCTTTCATCATGTTGTTCTTAAGTCAGAAGACTGGGGTGCTCTACATGATCCAGTCCAGTTTCCAATGTGCTCAGAACTTCCCATAACCCAAGTGCTGACTATGACCATGGAATTCTGTCAAATAGAGAATGCTAGTTTGAGTCCTAGTAAACTAAAAAAAAAAAAATAACTTTGGCATAACTAGTGCAATGCTTCTTCATAGTCTATATTTACACAATGCCTTGAGTGCCAGAGAGGTAAGTTAATATGGAAGAAGATATTTGGGAAGTGAAGGTCAATGCCCCAGGATTAGCTGGACATGTTTTTCTGTTTCTGTTTGTTACAGACTGAATGTTTGTGTTCCACAAAGTTCATATGTTGAGATACCAATCCTCCCTGTGTTGGTATTACGAGTGGGTGGTGAGTAAGTCCTGTGATTGAGCTCTCATGAACAGCACAAATGTTCTTATCAAGGGGGCTTCAGTGATCTGTCAGCCCTCCACCATGTAGGGACACAGCCAGGTGTCAGCCATCTATGAACTAAGAAGAAGCACATTGTCACATACTAAATCTTCCCAGGGCCTTGACCTTGTACTTCCTGCTCCTCAGAATGTGAGGGGAAAAAAGTATTATATAAGCTACTTAGTCAATGACATTTTTTGTACTACCATCCCTAACTACAAAGATACTCTTTTAGGTCTAAGATGGCATCCAAACTTTTAGTGCCCTAAAGGTGAAACAGCTCCCAATTACATTTAAAAAGTCAGGAAAATAACAAATTCTAGCTTTCTCTTTGACCCGAGTAAGACTTGCATCTTTCTACTCAGGTGGAAGTTATGGGTGATAAGTATTTCATTCAAATCTGCTGTACTTTCTTCATACCTATCACTCCTGAAAGACAAAAACAATCACTGGATCTTATAGTTTAAAACCTAAGGAAATAGAGCATCACATGGTGGCAAAATAACTCAACTCTAGGGGCCCTTTCATGAGCCAGTCATGATGCTCTCATCTTTACTTATAGGTTAATATTTATCTCTTAAAACAACCCAAGGAGTAATTATGTCTAAAATTTTTGTTAGCCACATGACCAAATATGGGTACATAGAACATAATGACTTGTCTGGAGTCATAGTCATGAGAGAACTTGGGGTAATCTCTGCATGGAACCTCTGATAGTACAAATAGGGTTTGCTGTCTGTGCTGTGGTTTGATCTGGGCACAAGCATACTGTGATTCCTGTGGCTAAACACCTGACTCCTAGGTAAGCTCAGACAAAGCCCCTGGCCCAGCTGTTCAGCCTCTCTCCCTCTCTAAACTGTTACTGGCGCAGGCTCATCGTCATATTCAATGTCAGAAGTTCTCCCAATTATTTCTGATAAAACCTGATTCCACAATCTTCTGCAGAGGCTGAGCCCAACTCTAGTCATGTTTGCATTGTTTGAGACTCACCTAAATACTCCCTTACTTGGTAAAATTCTTCATATGGTTATAACCAGGGCATATTATAAGACCTTCATTTATTTTGTGTCAAAATGGAGCTTTTGAAATACTATTAAAAATAATACCTTAATGATATGTATTTCCATAACATAATCGTCACCTCATTAAAAAATATCAATTAGTGGTTTTGGTACATTCACAGAATTCTGTAAATATGGGCACTCTSCAATTCCAGAACTATTTTTTTTTCACCCAGCAGGTAAAACATATTCAATGTCAATGCATACTCCATTTTGTTGTTATAGTACATTTTGTTCATCTATTCATCTGCTGATGTGCGTGGGCTCGATCTCATTCAGCAAGGAGGTCCACGGAACAGGGTAGAGGAGAGTGTGGCTGCAAAGTCGCTAATCAAGACCTCCAGAGACCAAGCAGGAAGCAGGTCTGATTTTTTTTTCACAGTTACTACACACACACACACACACACACACACACACACACACACACACACATTCAAGCAGTAGCTAAGCAGATTACAGGCAGCCACCAATGCAATGCCTGCTAACTGCCTTTGCAGCGACCAATCAAGGAGTGGGCTGTGGAGCAAGCGCAGGGACTGCAACACATGGCCTCACACCCTGGGCTGTGCCCAGAGGGTAAGTAGCCTACTGCTCACACACCTAGCACGAGGGGAGTGGCCTGCCACTCAGACGCCCTTAACATATGCCATGTATGCAGTACTCCATGCACTTGTCCCCACATTGATGGATGTTTGGCTTACTTCCAGTTTGGAGATATTATCAAGAATGCTGCTCTATGCAATTCTGAACAAGTACAGAGAGGGAATATTTCTGTTTATCCTGAGAATATCCCTAAATGGAATTGCTGAGACATTCCTCTTTAACTATAGAAGGAACTTCCCTCAGTTCCACACAAGGTTTATTTTCAGTCAAGCAGCTCCAGCCAGCAGGGAGGAGACCACCTGCTTTTATGGTGCTGAGTCAGCCTGGTTATGTTAGTCCTTCATGAAATGCTTTAAATCCCAGAATCCTGGGCACTGGCCTCTGCAAAAACTGGCCTCGTCATCAATTCATATAATTACCTGGTAACAGAAGTTTCTGGTCATCATTATTAAAGTTATAATTTACTAACATATTAATTATACAAATTGATGGGTTTCACTGTAAAACTTCCACATGTGCATATGTGGTACTTTGATCATGTCCACCTTCTCTCGTTCTCCACTCTTCTCTTTCCCATCCTTAGTATCTTTTTTCTTCCCCTAATAGTAGCTACTACTTCCAGGTCACTTTTATCGATCTATCTATCTATCATCTATCTATTATCTATCTATCTATCTATCTATCTATCTATCTATCTATTTATTTTTAGTTGTAGATGGACACAATACATCTATTTTTATTATTTATCTATTTTTATGTGGTGCTGAGGATTGAACCCAGTGGCCTCACATTCAAGGCAAGTGCTCTACCACTGAGCTGCAACCCCAGCCCCCACTTTTATTTTTAGATACCAAATATGAGATTAAACATATGACTTTTCTCTTTCTGACTTATTTAACTTGACATGATGTCCTTCAGTTTCATCCATTTTCCTGAAAAAGATATTAATTCTTTTTAAAAATATATCTTTTTAGTTGTAGATTGACACAATATCGTTGTTCATTTATTTATTTTTATGTGGTGCTGAGGACCGAACCCAGCACCTCACACATGCCAGGCAAGTGCTCCACCACTGAGCTACAGTCCCAGCCCTGATATTATTTCATGTATACCATATTTTCTCTATTCATTTATCTGTTGATGGGCACATAGGCTGGTTCCATATCTTGGCTATTATGAATAGTGCCACAGTAAACATGGGAATGTCTTTCTTTCTTTCATCCTTTCTTTCATTTTCTTTTTTCCTTTCTTCCTTTCTTTTGTACACCAACTTTGTTTCCTTCAGACAAATACTCAAGAGTAGTATAGCAGGATCATATGGTAATTCTATTTTTAATCTTTTGAGGAACCTGTTTTCCATGTGGCTGCACTAATTTACATTTCCACCAACAGTGTATAAGGGATCCTTTTTCTCCACATCCTTGCCAGTATTTGTTATTTAATTTCTTTTATAATAGCCATTCTGACTGGGGTGAGATGGCATATCAATGTAGTTTTGATTTGTACTTCCCCAATGATTAAAAATATTGAGCATTTTTTTTTGGTATTGAGTATTGAATCCAGGGGTGCTTAACCATGGAGCCACATCCCCCTTTTTATTTTTTTTTATTGGTTGTTCACAACATTAGAAAGCTCTTGACATATCATATTTCATACATTAGATTGAAGTGGGTTATGAACTCCCAATTTTACCCCAAATGCAGATTGCAGAATCACGTCGGTTACACATCCACAAYTTTACATAATGCCCWRTTAGTWATTGKTGTATTCTGCTACCTTTCCTATCCCCTACTATCCCCCCTCCCCTCCCCTCCCATCTTCTCTCTCTACCCCATCTACTGTAATTCATTTCTCTCCTTGTTTATTTTCCCATTCCCCTCACAACCTCTTATATGTAATTTTGTATAGCAATGAGGGTCTCCCTTCATTTCCATGCAATTCCCCTTTTCTCTGCCTTTCCCTCCCATCTCATGTCTCTGTTTAATGTTAATCTTTTCTTCCTGCTCTTCCTCCCTGCTCTGTTCATAGTTGCTCTCATTATATCAAAGAAGACATTTGGCATTTGTTTTTCAGGGATTGGCTAGTTTATCTTTCAACATAGAGATTCTTAGGAGGAAAATTGTCTTTATTATACTGAGAAGGATGCTTGAGTTACTTAAAATAATTTTTTAAATGCAGTTTTATTGTCATTCTGACAAGGTAAGGTATATGATTGTATTTTATGATTTCCTGTTTTCCTTAAGACAAAATATAACTTCTTTCTATGGTCTTCTAAGTGACTCTGAGTCCTGTTCCCTGATCTCCCCCTCAGGGTCACTCTTCCCTGTCTTAAGCTTTAATGCTCCCCTAAGAGCCTGTGTTCTCTTTCCTCAAATACTTGATGATTGGCCTCTCTTCTTGGCCACTGATTGTGCTGATCTCTGCCTGGATTCTACTCCTGCTGCCCAGTGCTGGTGCCACCCCCCTCACTGATTGACCCTCCTGCTTATCTCACCTCAGATATCATTCCCCTCCTTGAGAAACCTATCTCACCCACAGATCCCAGCAGATGCCTACTGATGGTGCACTCCTAGCATTAACTCATGGTGAGTAGATGAAGTTCTGTCCAGAAGGCTATGTGTAAGTCCTTACCCTGACTATCTGTCAATGTGACCTTATATGGAAAGCGTTTCTGCAGAAATAATCTAGTCGAGGTCACATTGAATTAAGGCAGCTCCTAATCAAACTGCTGGTGTCCTCATAAAAAGAGGGCAGTTTGGAAAGGCAACACACAGGGAGAATGTCCTGTGACCATGGAGGCAGAGATTAGAGTGTTGTGACAAAAAGTCAAGAAAGAATGGCAGGCTTCTATCAGATACTAGGAAGAGGCTAAGAAGGAGCTTTCTCTAAAGCCTTCAGAGAAACCATGGCATAACTCATGCATTGACTTCAGACTTAGCTCCAGAACTGCAAGAGAATGAATTTCCATTATTTTAAACCATCAAGTTTGCAAGAATTTCTTGTAGCAGCCTTAGGAATGTGATGCATATGGTATATATGATTTCAGATTAGAATTCTCTTTTTTTATTTGTTTCTATCACTAGAGTAACGTCCATGAGGGCAGAAACTGTATCTGGCTTATTCATCATTATTTACTAGCTCCCAGAGTACAGAATGTTCCGTATTAGATATAAATATGCAGGATGTATAATTGGACAAAAAGATTGGTAACCTGAAGGAAAATGATTCTTTACAAAATTTGTTGATTTAGGTGAGAAAGGAAACAAAACACAAAAAAGAAAGACCATTTTTGCATATCAGAATATGGTTTGAAAATTTCTACATAATTTTCTTTGACATAGTATATGACAGATGTTATATGACAATTTTTGGATATATGCTCTTTTTTATTTAAATTCAATATATCCTAGGAGGTGATCAGGATTTCAGACTTCATCAAAACCAAATAGATTGGATTGCAAAGAATTCTGCATAGCTCATTTCTAACTGAATTAGTACATTAACTTTGGAAAGCCTTTTTAGATTCACAATAATCAGTATCAACATTTAGGCAAAGCATTTCATTGTTACAAAAAATGTAGAATATTGATTTTGAATGTCCAGCCTTATTTAACCAAAACTCTTCTTTAATTCTTCAACAAATTTCTCATCTTCAAAGGGCTTCCTCTGGCTGCCAGGCTGCAGAAACTTCTTCACTGTGGGCAGGTTGCTGACTCTGGTTTTCAGGGCCTGTAATGTACAAGTACACAAACACCCATTAACACAACCCAAACAAACACCCATTAACACAACCAGGAAGTCTGCACCCCTCCTTGATAAAGACCAACGGAATCCCTCCATCAGCACAACATGCTGTCTGGGAAATAGACAACCAATGAGAAAAAAAAAAAGATAAGAGCTAGAAAATAAAGCTCCAATGACAATTTCCCCGTTTTAAAACTGTATATAGTTCCAGCTATCTTCTTTTCTGCCTTACACTTTAATCCTATAGATTCATTCCTGCTGTATGAAATAAGGAAAAACACTGTGCCTGCCACATGTAGATACAGAGAAGCACTCAAACSGGTGAGATGACTATATAGAAAAACTGAGTTAGAAATGATGATAGAAATAGACCAGCAAATGCAGGTGGCAGCCACTACAAATTATCACTCTGAGAGATAAAGATGGGAGTTGTTGAGGATGGGGATAGGAGAGGTAGGTTTGCAGAGAGAAATATGACGCCTGAGGGTAAGTACTCGAACTGAGGGAAGAAAAGATGGAAGGAGACTTGCTTGGATAGACTCAGTGTGCAAAGACAAGGGCATATGTGGGTATCAGGGACTCCAGAGAAATCATGATCAGAACCCAAATGGAATAGGGGGCTGTAAAGAGAAAGCTAGACCCTTGTTTTTTTCTCATTATAGAAGGCAAAATTTCAGCCTTGCTCAACGTCAGCCTTGCTCAGCCTGTTGCCAACCAGGTAGTCTTGCCCATGGCTCTTTAACACCTGCAGAATGGGAGGAGTCGGGTCATGAACACACATAGCCAGACTTGGGCTCCAGCTTGCCCCTGAGCCTCTCAGTCCAACTTTCCCCATATGCTGCCTCCTGGGAAGGTGTGGAGCTGCCCAGAAGATCTTTCTCGAGGCCCTGACTCATGAGGGAGAGTGAGAAGTGGGGCTCTGCTCACTCCTCTGTTAAAGCCCAGGGGACCTTCATTCTCATCCCCACATCTCTGGATGGCTCACACCTCCCACCCTGACCTGCATCTTCCTCCCACACCAAGGGCTGCACCATGTTTCTCTCTGTTCYACACCCTACCCCGGTGCAGCCCTGAAATTTGAGGATGTTCCTTTCCCTTTGTTCTATATGTAATATTCCATGGGCAACTGTTCTATCTACATGACGACACCTTTCATGTATGAGCACATCATCTCAGGGTTTCCATTTCTCCTCTTGTCTACTTTCCTAATGTCCTGGTGATATCTCTGGAATCTAATTACATTTCAGTTTGTCATCTGTCTTTTGACATTCGATCTAACCCTCACACTATGGCATAATCTGTATGTGGAATTATGTAAGGATGAACTGATGTCCAGAACTTGTTTTGAAATGCATGAAAAATGGTGTTTTATTTGTGGAAAAAGATATAGAGAAATGAAAAAGGTAACATCTAGAGTGTAAATTTTGCTGTCTCTGTGGAGTTTAATGGATCTTTGTCTTGTTGAACTTTCTTTCAATGTTTCTGGATATCTAAAAGTTTCACAAAAATTTTCTGGGTAATATATGATATTTGTTAAAATATCCTAGTAATATTGAGATCATGATGAATTAAGAGAAGAGAAAATAACACATGGCACTACTAATGAAAGATAATGTTTTGCCAAACATGCTATCAGATTATGTGTACATAAAGAAGTACAAATCATTGCTTGGTATAACAATAAAACAGAAGATCAAATTCATAATGTAATTTGCACTATTCATTTATGTTCAAGGGAGTCTTAAGTTTCATGTATGGATGACTTAGCTATAATCACTGGAAAACTTGTCATCAGGTGATGTGCCCTGAACCATCAGTTCTACAGGGCCAGGAGGGTGAATTTGAGGATTTAATCATACCTAAATTCTTACCTCCTTGCCTGAGATCTACATGCAAGAATTTATTTAACATTCACTGAATGAAGGAATGACAGAATGGTATAATACTCTGAAAGTGGGAATTAAGTAGTTAGTTTTTGTTTATAAGTTTACTGTATCAGTTATGGTCAATTTTGTTTTATAATTTTTGTCACATGATTTCAAGTAATTTTTATTTTGAAATAGTATCCCTTTATGTTCAAAAATAATTCTTAGTAAGATAGGTATATAATGAGGGAACCCGATTTCCTACCTTTTGTGCAACTTTCCTCAAAAATCTGAATGCCATGTCCCTCAATTCTATAGAACATTTTCTCTTACATCTTCCCTTCATCTTCTCTTCCTCTCCACCCCTCTGTCACCATCCCTGTGTGGATACTTTTTATCCATCGCTGAAACACTACAGTCCCCTCCTGATGGGCAGCTGGTCTCATGTCTCCTTATACACAGCAACAGAGATTTCCTGATGTGTTGCTTTTATCATATTGCTCTTGAGTCAGAAGACTGTGGTGCTTTGCATGATCTAGTCCAACTCCCAATGTGCTCAGATCTTCCCATAGYCCAAGTATTGATTATGACCATGAAATTCTGTTACATAAAAATTTCTAGATTGGATTACAGTAAAACAAAACTTTTTGAAAAATTTAACTTTGTTAAATTTGTTAAAAGACTAGTACAATGGCTGTTCAAAGTCTGTGTGTGCACAATGCCTTGAATGGAAGGGTACTAAATCAGCATGAAAGAAGTCCTTCTGGAAGTGAAGGCCAATGCCTAAGGAATCCCAGACTCTGTTTTTCTCCTGCATCTRTTATGGAATGAATATCGGTGGTCCCCCAAATTCATACGTTGTGATCCCAACTCAATATGATACTTTTAGCAGCTGGTGACTTTGGAATGTAATTATATCCTATAGAAAGAGCTCTCAAGAATGGCGATAGTATTTTTATAATGGGATCTTGAGAGCTCCCTTGACCCAGCTGCCATGTGAGGACACAGCCAGAGGTCAGCCATTCATGAACAAAGAAGCAGAGCTTGCCAGATACCAGTCCTTCAGGGCTTTGATCTGGTACTTCTCAGCCTCTAGAACTATGAGAAATAAACATTTTTCTTTTTYMTTTTTGGGGGTTTTGTTGTTGTTTGTTTGTTTGTTTTGAGATAAGTTCTCATTATGTTGGTCAAACTGAACTCTAACTCAGGATGCTCCAGCTTCAGCCTCCCAAGGAGATGGAACTACAGCCACGTACCTTCATGCCCAGGAAAGGTCTGTTGCATAAATCAATGCTCACCATCTATATGGTGCCGTTCACATAGCAGTTCTAAGTGCTAAGACACCTGTTAGGATTAAGACACCCTCTAAACTCTTAGTGGCCTCAGAGAGAAAACAGCTTCCACTTACCTTCTCGAAGGCAGGAAAATTTCTAGATTTCTCTTTGATCTGAGTAAGGCTTCCATCTTTGTCCCCAGGTGGAAGGAAAGGGTAATGAAGAATTATTTCATTCAAATCTGCCACACCTTCTGAATAAATATCAATTCTGAAAACAAAACACAGTAAAGCACTCTGTCAAATGACTCTTGCCCTATATTTTATACTTTAAAAGCCTTAGAGAATATAGCATCATGTAGTAGCAAAGGAATTCACCTCCAGTGGACACCTTCCATAAGCCAGTTACTCATAGATTAACATTTGTTTCTTAGAGCAACCTAAGGGCAGACATATATCTAAAATATCTGTTATACATATGGAGAAAAATAGCACCATTGAGTTCTCAGGGACAGTCTTGAGAGAACTTACTGTCTGTAACTACTGGTGGTACAAACAGGGATTATTCCTCTGCTGTGGTGTGTTCTGCAAAACTTAGTGTGATTCCAGTACCTAAACCCCTGCCTCCTAGGTCAGCTCAAGACAGTCCCTGACCCAGCCTCTCAGACAAGTCCCTCCCCTTCTCTCATCTTATACAGCCCGGGCTCATTTTCATGTGCAATGTCAGGAGTTCTTCCAATTATTTCCCATAAATCACGTTCCCTAACTCTTTCCTTGTACTGTTGCCCAATGCTAATCATGTTTGCATTTCTTGGGACCCCACCCAAGACATTCCCTGACTTGGTGCAATTCTTTATATGGTTACAAAAAGTGCATAATATAAGAGAGTTTTATTTCTTTTGTTTCAAATAGGCTTTCCAAAAATTCTTCCTTAAATAGCTGCTTTGTTAATAAATATTCATGTCATAATTGTCACCCAATTAAAGTCTACTATTCAGTGATTTTTTTAGTGCATTCACAGAATTCTGCAAATATCAACACTCTCCAGTTCCAGAACATTTTTACCATGTTGGATGGATTACAAAAAAATGTATACCACCTCTTCCACCAGCTCTAGAAACTACTAATCTACTTTCTGTCCCTGTGGATATGAGTGTTCTACACATTCATACTAAAGAAACCATATAATATGTGGCCTCTTGGGTCTGATTTCTTTTATGTGACATAATGTTGTCAGTGTTCATCCATTTTGCCATATGCATCATACTTCATCTCTTTGCACAGAAAATACTATTCCATGGTATAACTGAAGAATCTTCCTTCATCTATTCATCTGTTGCACCTTTAGTTTATTTCCACTTTTTTGATATTTTGAACAATGTACCTATGAACATATGTATAGAAATACTACTCAGTATTTTCATTACTCTTGGGTATATCCCTAGTACTGGAATTGCTGGGGTATTGGTAACTCTTACTTTTTGAGGAACTTTCCACAGATTTATACAAGATTTTATTTTCAGTAAAGCAGTTCCAGCCCAGGAGGGAGGAGACCTAAACCCCAGTGCTGAATCAGTGGGCTTCTTCAAGTCTACATGAAAAGCTTTAGGTCACCCTCATGTCTTGACACCAGACTCCACCAACCCTCATCAAGCTGACCCGTCTGTAGAAGAAGAGGATAGCTTAGGTTCCTGCCTGTGAGTCTTGTACTTTCTGGAAATGGAAAATCAGGTGCTTCAGATCCTTCCTTYTTAGGCCTTCAAGTCTAGACACTMAAACTCTTCCCCTGTCCCAAGCTATTGCATAGTTTAACCTCTAAGCTAAGCAAATGGAATCAGGATTCCACCATCTTCCTGAATTCATAGTTCTCAGGATTTGCAAGCTTCCATGAACCRCGTCCTCTCTACATGACACTGCCCTGAATTCACTTCATGCTTACTCTTTCTGCATCTCAATAGCACTCTCCCATACTGACCTCAGTGTTTATGCCCAGGGTCAGCCTAGTGCTTGTCAGGATCCCCCTGCCTTGGTTTTTCTCACTCAAGGAAGGACCTAAATGCTTCTTGTGTTATCTGAAAAAATAGAAAATATACCGTACAGGGCTCTCTCCTTAATGTCCTTCCCATAGAGGTTGTATTTGGCAGCAATGTAGTTGAGAATGGCTCTGGTCTGCACCAGCTTCATTCCATCTATCTCCACCATGGGCACCTGCTGGAACATCAAACTCCCATCTTGTGGAAGGAGAAAACAAACAGAATGAGATGTCTATGGGTCAGACGTGTTCACAATGTATAACAGTTGTGAAAATGAAGATGCAAAAGGGAAAAATTATTGCTTGGTAAAATTTCAAGTAAGATACTATTTTATTTTTAGCTTTTTTTCTTTTTTATTCTTTTCCATCTTCTTACTTTTAGCCTATTATTCCATTGATGTTTTAATTTCCCATCCATCTAGACACATTTGAATATTTGTGTGTTTAGCTCATCTTCATGGATATTTTAGGAAGAAAATGGGGAACCAGTGATAGGGCAGGAGCCATTTCCATTCAACATAGGAATTTTGCACAGTCTCATGGTGTTCATGACATCAAGGACAGTTCAGAGAGATTTCTATGTGGGCCCCTCTGTGTGCTTTTCCAAAGACAGCATTGGACAGTGTGTGCAGGCTGGACCTTGTGTTCCTCACCCCACAGCTGGCAGAAAGGAAGAACGCTTTCCCTCCTCACTCCTTTACCTGGACTTCCATATTCAGCACAGTCATATYATCAATTCTGCAGTGCACTTGGGTAGTCACCTTGTCAAATCCCTTAAAGAAAAGATCTGAAGTTGATTGCTGGAGCCATTTCTGCTCCTGTCATCTAATGAGTGCCCCTGTGCATGCTTGGATGGGAAGGGAGGTGTGGGATCCTGAGCTGCTTGAAGGTCAGTCATGGAGCAGAAAGCATAACAAAGAAAGGAGAGGGATTTACAGGACCCTGGGATGGTTCCTTAGCAAGTATTCACATAATGGGTCTCACCCTTTTTAACACTGAGATTTGTCAGAACTTATATTTTTACCACTCTCTGCCTCTCCACTACCAACACTACCATCCTTAGATACACAAAGGGATTGCATAGTGTTTAAATCTTCTCCTAGGAACCCTCTTAAGAGGCATTTAGATATTTGTTCTCACTTTTTATTAACTTTTTCATGTCTTCTTGAGTTTTCACTAAGTTTTCTTCAAATTGGAAAGCAAACCAGTAAATGAATCTTTATTAGTGAATTCCATAGCAACACGTGCTTTTCAACTTGGATGGCTTCTTTCTGTACATAATATGAAGGGGGAAAGATTTTTTAGCTTGGTAGCTGATGATGACATTTATAATTTGTATTAGATCCATCAAAAATGCACAGAAAAGAAAAAAGAAAAAGAGAAATGCAATCAGTCACAAAAATAATTGTTCTCGTAGCTCACTTCGCCTCCATTCTATGTCCATGCATAGGTCATGATTTGGGAGGARTCTCATTGGAAGGAGGACAACTGAGAATCTTTTCTTGTTGTGGAGTTGCAATATCTCAGGAAACCTGTCTCTAAGATCAGAATGGTGTTGCGTGCATCTGTAGCATGAGATATGCCATAGACCCACAACCATCTAACATTCTGCCACAATCAAGTCTCCACTGTAACTAACATCATCACAGTCCCAGAATTCCTGCCATTGGTGAAACGAGTTCTAGTTTGTATTTATTTATTTATTTATGGTGATGGGGATTGAACCTAGGACCTTGTAACATGTGAGGCAAGCACTCTACCAACTAAGCTATATCCCCAGCCCCATGGGTTCTAGTTTTTACACAGCTTTTACTCTTAAAGCTAGAATTGCCTCTTCTGGAAAATGTGGGGCATGTTAGAATAGAATTCCCAATTTTAGGAAACAATTGGAGTCCCCAAACTCATATTTTTCTTCTCTAAAAATTTTAGTTTTTGATATGACTGTGTGGGTTAAGTGTCACTTCTTTAATGTCCTGGCATCTTGACCTTGGACAATTTACTGAATTTCCTTATGCTTCAGTACTCTAATCCATAAAATGGTTTTATTTATTTATTTTCAATAAACTGGGTTTATTTATGATGCCTATGTTTTGGTTGATTTATGGAGTAAATCACTAAGGCCTGCAAATGACTAAAAAATGTACCAGGTGTCTCTTAAGTTCTTAATAAATCTAAGTCATCATTTGCATTTTGAAAGACAGCTGGCTATTTCACCATATCCTCCTTTAAAAAAACTTTTAGTTATACTAATACAGATGACCATGTACTTTATTCTTGAGCTGTATCCTGTAATTTAAGCCTTATGTGAAGTCACTCAGATTGGATTGGCAGCCAGTAATAAAGGATGTTTCTAGTTGATCAGAAGTGGTGCCCCGTATGAAATACAAATATGACAATCAGTTTTTTTAAATACAGTGAAATTAGCTTAATAGGCAGAATCTTTCAACCTAAAGTCTATGGAAGACTGGATTTTGATGTTAACATGACTTGGTTCCAGCTGTGGCCCTGTCTCATATTACCTGTGTGATCTAGGGATAATCACTTCACATTTATAAGTCTCATGTGGCTCATCTGTAAAATTATGTTGGAGCATTGTCTTAAATAGAATATTGCAGTGTTTTCAAAACACATGATACAGGCCTGATCCACATAACCCAAATAATAAAGAGCATTGGTGTTTGCAGTGACTAATGTATTTAATGGAGTTCTTGATAGTGAAAAGTCCAAATATTGGGGTTTCCTAGAATGCTTTTTGGAATAGTTTCTTGTGGATCTATATGATCATATAGGATCATATCACAGAGACAATGAGGAGGTGTGGGATAGCAGTTTACCAAGCATCCAGTTCATAGAAAACATAGAGGTGATGGGTAGTCATGGCAGATGGCCATGGTGGGTGGGGTGGACAAGTGTGATACTGACTGTGAGGCTGACAGGGATGGATGGGGCTGTAATGATCAACTTCTGGGCACAGACAGCCCAATAATCCTGAGTAAGGGTCTCCAGCCAGCCCTTGCCCACTACTACCCTCTTCAGTCAGCTGGGATAGAGAAGAGGAAGCTGTTGGCATCACCCCTTTCTCCTCTCCTATCCTGAGCTCCTCCTCCCCAGAGGATTGGAAAGCATCTCTGAGACTAAAAAGGTGGCACCTGGAAGATGGTGAAACCAGAGGGCTCCTTTACAGGAAGAAACAACTAGGATGATAAGCAGTTTTTATTTCTTGTGTCCTTGTTTCTCCAAGAAATTGAGAAAGGATAAGGTTAAAGTCCATGTGTTCTTAGAAGAATGGAGAAAATGTCATCTCAAGACTTTGGCAAGTGATTAGAGATTGTCAAGTGATTAGAGATTGTCTTGGGAACACTGAAGTCAAGAGCAAATTCTTAGAGCAGAAAGAGCTCGTGATGCTGAGAGCCAAGGAAACCATTTGACTAGAAGAAAGAACATGAAGTTGGGAGTTATGGGGGAGGTCACTCTAGGATTCTGGCTAGAGAAGGAGTTTGCGGCCAGCACTGGGTTCAGGTTAATGCAATAATATTTTTGAATTCCTCTTTTTTCTGAGTCATATGTTAGGGAAAAAGGAAAGATAAATCTCCATCCTCGAAGAGATGAGTTAATGGTCTTAGATTTTAGCAAAGGACCCTTGAAAGTTGATCTAATTTTTGTGTTTGATCTAGAAGAATCCTGAAGGATGAGGTTTAAAAATCATGACTGAAGTACCCAATATGGAAATCTGATTGCAATGGATAAAATATTCCAAGATCACTAGATGATGCCATTTCCATGGAATGAATGCTGTGACAATGAGATGAGGGAAGTGGACAGGGACCTTGAGGGTAGGCAAAAAAAAAAAAAAATGGACTCATTTGTGCAATGTGGCTGAGAACTGGTGTTTGAACTTAGCTCTGGTGTCTCACTTAGGAGAGTGGGGAGAGGACTTTTTACATATTTCTTCTAGTCTTCTCCTTTTTTAATTGGTTAATGAGGTAGAAACCAATATAAAGAAGATATCAGTGACTCAGTTAAAACCTGGGCTACCTTCTGTGTGCTAGTCAGAGTTCTTAAAATTGTTGGATTTTACAAATATGAGATACCCATACATCCTTCAGGGACTCAGAATCTAGGCATGGGACAAGAAGGTATTCTACAGGCAATTCCAGTGTTTGTAGCTGTAATTCTTTGATACCAATTATCTCAAATTTAGTGTATTTATTTGTGGTTTTTGTTACAATTGGAAAACAAAGCTCTTTCTGTTCTTTTTGTTAATTAGGTTTTTTTTCCACAAGAAAGGAATATTCAGGGATGCATAAATAGAGGTCTTTGAGGGTTTTTTTTTTTTTGCCTATTCTTCATGATCCAATGATGTACAATGCATATCTCTTTTAAAATGGGTTTCATTTAACACTGATGGGGTGGGGCCACTTCTCTGTCTCCATGACTAGACTGGAGCAGAAGCTGTGCCATTCTTTGTGACTTCCTTGCACTTAAAAGAGATTGTGATTCATAGTTCAAAATTGATAGATATTTGAATAAAAGAAAGCATGAAAAAAAAGACTTTGGTAAACCCATTGCTATGAAGTTAAAGTTCCTCTAAAGGGACATAACTGCACTCTGAAACCYTTGTTTTCTGCTGCTACCTGAATACAAGATTTCCTGAGTTTGTCCAGGAGTTCCTCCCGAGGAAAACCCTTGTTTGTTACCTGTTCCTCTATTCTAGACTAAATACCATCTTCTCAGTGTTGCCTCTAGAGGACAGCACTCAGCTGAGTCACAGAGAAACCTACTGGATCCTGCTTAAATACTAGCAAAAATGGTCTTTTAATCCTGCAAGATGCTTGATCTTGTCCCTTGTAGATACATAGGTTGCCCAAGGGCAGGCCTTGTCTGTTGCATTCATTGTATATCCTCAGGACCTCACACAGGACCTGGCTCTTTAAGTGCTCCACAAAATTATTGCTGAATGAATGTGTCCTATGGTTAACTGGCAGTTTGCTACTGTCTCCTGCCCCATCCTTCATGTGTGGTATGTATTTTCACTTTAAATGCATTCCTTTTTCTGAGATTGTACATTTAAATTCTATTATTATGAAAATTTCTGATATGTATAAAATAAAAATAATGTAACATTGCTCCTTACATACTTCAACAATGATCAGTTCAAGCCAACAGCTTTTCATCTATTCACCCACCGGATCTCCTTCT